AGTGGGATGAGGTTAAACACGTCAAGGAGAGTATCCAACAACGAGCAGGTACTCCTCAATCTCAGACCACCGTAAGCAAAAGGGCCATCAACAAGGAGAGCTTAATGAGTTTAATTCCTAGGGGCTGGCCAAAGAACACTGACTATCGAGGCAAATTCATGACTAAGAAAACAACCACAGGAATATTATTATTATCATCACCCTGCCTACAGCCTGAGTCACAGATCTGGGATCTACAACACTGGTGCTGTACAAACACGTAACAGAGTGTCAGGTGGGATTCATCACACTAAACGTGGTAGAATCACAGAATCATTTAGGTTGGAAGAGACCCTTAAGATCATCGAGTCCCACCATAAACCGAACACTGCCAAGTCCACCACTAAACCATGTCCCTCAGCACCACATCCACGCGTCTTTTAAACACCTCCAGGGATGGTGACTCCACCACTTCCCTGGGCAGCCTGTTCCAGTGCTTGACAGCCCTTTCAGTGAAGAAATTTTTCCTGATATCCAATCTAAACCTTCCCTGGCGCAACTTGAAGCTGCTTGCTCTCCTCCTACAGGCTCCCTTTGCAGCCCAGCCCAGAGAAATGAGCCTTTTTAAGGGTTTTTAGTCTCCTCCCAAGACATTCACAGGTGCTCACGCAAAATGTCCCCAACAGTGTCCATTCATCCCTGCTGACTATCAAAGGAGTCCAGGGATGCGGCTCAGATGAAGATATCCCAACTCAGGCAAGACAAGTGCTCCTCCTTGCAGCTGGGAGCTCTGGGCGTGGATCTGCAGTACCGGTTTCAGTGCAGTACTCGTCTCGGTGCAGTACTGCTTTGGGATATTCCTGCGCTGTGACCCAGACTAGGGGACAAATCCAGCTTTTTCAAATTGCCTGGTTTTTTGAGGTTTCTTTCTCCAGAGCACTTCCGCAATCTGGCTGACGGAGCATCCTGACAAGCCGGGGGAAGCTGAGCACGGGGGATACATTACACCCTGACCGCTGCTAACACCCCGCAACATGAAACCGGGGCCAAACACCATCAACGGGAGAGCAACCTTACTCAGGGCTCTACTATGCCTCCGGCAGCACTCTGCCCTTCCTCCCTCCCTCTTCTTCAAGTGCCGAAAATTCCTGCTATTATTTATTTTGCTACCAGTTTTGTTTTCAGCATCAACAACGTTACCTCAGCAGAAGGACGGAGTTTGCAGTGTTGCCATACTTGAAGACGTACCATCAGACACGGTCACAGAGTGACTGTGTAACAATAAACCAAGATTTCTGCTTTGTTTTCTTTTCCTTCTTGTCTCAAAAAGTTCTGACCTCATGTCCACCAAGACATGAATTTTAAAAGGCACAGGAATTTTTTTAAAAATCCCTGCTTTATTTTTTTTTTCTTCCTTTATGACTATTAAGATTTTTGAAACCTGCGAGATGGCTTTTGAATGCCTGAAGTTGGCAACGACCAAGCCATTTGATAAAGGTCTAACCCATTTGGTGCTGCAGCAGTTCTAGAGCAGTAAATACATCAGCAGTTCAAGAAGTTATTTCACTTAACTTTGAGAGGGAATTTTTATAAAATAAAGGAATATTGGGAGTCCAGTGAGCAAGGTGGACATCGGTTGGTAGATGACGCCCCTAAACATCGCTGAGCAGCTCTCTAGACTTCATCAACTGCGCTGGTGAGATCTCCACTGATTTAAGGGATTCAACTTTCCCAGGTTCCAGCAGCATTGAGGCAACCCTGACCACTGCAGGTGGAGCTGGCTGCTCCGGGTGACCTAGAAAGTCAACTTGGAAGGAGGGACTGGCTCCAAAGAAGCTTATCCTTCAGCCCTCAAATCACCAGATTGCTGAATTAGAATACTAATTGGATCTGATGAGTCCCATACAGCCAAACTGAAGAAAAGAGCATTAGGAGAAGGAAGGAAAAAAAAAATTCATTAGGGCTGAGGGGTGAAGATGGGAGGCAGAGATGGAAAACTGGGCTGTTTACCAACTGGAGCTTTACCAAGTCAAGGAGAACAGAATGGAGGACTATGAGGGAAAGGAAAGCAATAACAATCCGAGTGGAGAAGGAAGTTAGAGAGGAGCAAGAGTAAGAAAAGGAGGAAACCTGAGTCACACCTAAGATGACTGCAGAAGGGATGACCCACAGTTGGATGCTTCAATGGAAGAAAACGGTGTAGTCTTGAGAAAGAAGCAAGATTGCAGGAGAGGTATGAGCAGGAAAAGAGGGGATTAATGCTGATAAGGAGACAAACTTGATTTGGCAGATGATGGAGAAAGGAGGACGGCGGGGGCCCATGCCCAAGACGAGAGGTTGTTGTTTCAACATGGAGTTTTCCATGCATCTGGGTCCTGTACAGAGGCAACATCACACCTGGGCGCTGTGGGGCTGGACTGGGGCAGAAGGAGAGGGCACAGATGAAAAAAAATTTGCTGGAAACAAAGACACACCAGTGAAAAGAGAGAAAACGCTGCAGAGAAGCACAAGGCATTTGGAAGGCGGCAGTCGGCGAGGACCCGGTGGTTGCCATGTACTCCTGAGCCCAGAGGCAGGGTGACGGGCACTGGGTGCCTCCCCAGAGCATACCACGTCTTCGCCTCCACTACACCAAAGGCTCGAGGCTGTGCCTTTGGGAAATGGCTGCTACAGCTCCAATGATTTACGGGCTCGATGGAGGAATCGCTGGGCTGGGTTTCCAGTCTTCCTGTTTTCCTGGGGGTGCTGGTTGACAGCCGGTTGAACATGAGCCAGCAGGGGGCCC